AGGGGAGATTTAGATGCTAAGAAAAAGCCTTTAGAAAGCATTCACGTACCTGAGAAGTTGGGCAAAGTACTACGGAGCGTAGAAAAAGGTCGTGCGTTCCGTGGAGTTAAGCTGCTCACCGTGACTACGAGTTACACTCTCTTGACTTCAGCACTACTTTCCTGCAGGGCAGCCTGCACGAGGAGATCTGCCTGTGCCGCCCACTTGGCTTCACTAGGACTTCTCCTCCTGGAACCGAGTGGAGCCTCTGGCGGCCAGTCTACAGTCTCCACCAGGCACCGCGTGAGTGGCACGACACACTGAGGACTACGCTTGCGGCTCTTGGGTTTGCTCCTTCTACTGCCGACCCGTCGCTGTTTCTACGCACCGACAATTCTCTGCCGCCGTTCTACATCCTCGTGTACGTCGACGACTTGGTCTTTGCCACAGCTGACACTGCTGGACTTGCCCACGTGAAGTCCGAGCTGCAGAAGAGACACACGTGCACAGACCTGGGTGAACTGCGCAACCACCTTGGCTTGCAGATCACCCGGAACAGAGCACGCCGCGCCATCACCCTGACTCAGTCACACATGGTGCAGCAGGTCTTTCAGCGCTTCGGCTTCACGTACTCCTCGCCTCAGGCCACTCCTCTGCCTACTCGCCACTCGCTCTCAGCTCTGCCTTCGGATGAGTCCGTAGAGTCGAGTGGCCCGTACCCAGAGCTTGTTGGCTGCCTCATGTACCTGATGACCTGCACACGACCTGACCTTGCATACCCTCTTAGCATTCTCGCATGATATGTTTCTCCTGGGAGACACCGACCAGAGCACATGGCTGCAGCGAAGAGGGTGTTGCGCTACTTGTGCAGTACGTCGGGCATGGGGCTAGTGCTTGGAGGGCGGAGTCCAGTGGTCCTCACTGGTCACGCAGACGCTTCTTGGGCTGACGACCAGGCTACGCAGCGGTCGTCACAGGGTTACACCTTCAGCCTTGGTTCCGGCTCTGTTTCGTGGCGGGCTACTCGCTCGTCTTCTGTTCTCGGCTCCAGTTGTGAGGCTGAGATCTACGCAGGGGCCATGGCTGCTCAGGAGCTTTGCTGGCTCACCTACCTGTTGACCGACCTTGGAGAGCCACCTCGTTCTCCTCCAGTACTGTACGTAGACAACAAGGCCATGCTGGCCTTGTGTCGAGAGCAGAGACTGGAGCACAGAACAAAGCACATTGCTCTCCGCTACTTCCTTGCTCGTGAGCTACAGCAACGTGGTCAGTTGCGGCTTGCGTACGTGGCCTCTGAGGCCAACACTGCTGATATCTTCACCAAGGCACTTGCGCCTTGTGATCATCAGCGCTTCTGCACCCAGCTGGGTCTTGTGCCTGTCTTGCCTCACTTGCTCACCTCTTGACCTTACATGTACTGTTACACATATATATACCTGCTCTTGCTTGTCTAGCCTTATATATATATGTACTCCTGCATGTGAACTGGCCTTGTGGCCTTGAACTTGTGCTCGGAATGTGTGGTGACTTTGTGATCCACCCTGAGCTTGCTTTGCTTTGCTTTACTTGACTGGTCTTGTGACCCCTAGTTGTCCCCCACTTCGCCTATGGGGGTGTGTCAAACATTATATATGTTGTGCTTGTTTAGGCTACAATGGGTTAGCCTATAGGGGGTACACAATTCTAGGATTAGGTACTTGTACTGATTTCACTGTTAGTTCAATCATTCCAAGTCGCTGACCAAGTCGGTGACCAAGTAGGTGGTGCCAGAAGAGAGTCTGGTGAGACAGGAGACGACACGAGCAGGGGGCAGACTCAGGACCAGACCTGGACGCTGCAGCAAACACCTGACCCGACGCAGCTACCTGACCAGACTCAGCGTCCGGAGGAGACTCAGTAGTCAGTGTGTACAGGCTCGACCCCGGCTGACGGGTAAACGTGGCCAAGTGTCGGCCCGTCTGAGCACATGTGCAGTGGGTTACTCGCTGACTCGCAGGAGTGAAGTGGTCAACCCCTCTATCTTGCAGGTCAGCACCACTCACCAAGTTTGTAGAGAACGAGGGGAGGTAAAGACCTGACAGGAAGCCAGACGGGGCCGCCGGACACGGTAGCACAGTGGAGTAGTGAGCAAGGACAGGACCCCCGGAGGGGTCTTCTAAGGAGACTGCAACCGGCCGACTAAGTGGTGTGAGGGTGGTGCGGTCTCGAAAGAAGGAGCCGGAGGCACCCGAGTCAAGGGTGAAGGTGTGCAAGACCGCAGCAGGCGCAACACCAGAGAGAGCAAACTCACCAGCACCTGGAGTAGGAGACTCACTGGCACCTAGAGCAGCAGCCTCACCAGCACCTAGAGCAGCAGACTGGATACCGGGGTGAGGCGGCACACACAGGTGACAGGCACCCTCAGTACTAGTAGACAATGCATACATTGCAGTGAGAAGAGCATCATAGTCAAGAGCAAAGATATCTACCCTCTGCCTAAGCAGCTCCAGCCAGGAGGGGAGCTCAGCATCGTCGCCAAACTCAGTAAGCCAAGCGTCACTCAGACAGGCGAAGCAGCAGGACTCTGTGTGACCAGGAGTCCCGCAAGGCTGACCAGTTCGGACACCCGTGCGAATGACGTACGGGCAACGAGCAGTCCCCAGTGACCCTCTACTCTGAGCGTACCACTCGCGAAGCTGCTGGGGCGTAAGGGTCTCGCGCGGACGACGCTGCAGCTGCACCTGGCCACTACAAGGAGCTCCCGAACTACTCACTCCAGGACGACTCCCACTACGGCCTCCCCGACAAGGCGTACCACTCACGAAGCTGCTGGGGCGGGAGGGACTGACGTGGACGTCGTTGGAGCTGCAGCTGGTCACCGCGAGGAGTAGCAGTAGCAGCAGTACGGGCAGGGCAGTGCTCACCAGTGACGAGAAGGGAAGAGTCCAGCTGCGGCTGCGGCTCAACGGCGGCGGCACGACGGCGGCGGCGGCTCGACAGCGGCGGCGGCTCGACGGCGGCGGCGGCTCGACGGCGGTGGCGGCTCGACGGCGGCGGCCCAACAGCGGCGGCGGCTCGGCGGCGGCGGCTCGACAGCGGCGGCGGCTCGACTTCGGCAGCGGCTCGGAGGCGGCGGCTCGGCGGCGGCGGCTCGACAACGGCGGCGGCTCGACAGGGTGGAGCGTGGGCAGCAAGGCGGTGCGCGGGCTGCAGAAGCCGGCGTGCGGGCAGGCAGGGGCGGCGCGCGTCTAGCAGGGAGGCGCGCGGGCTGCAAAAGGGCGGTGCGCGGGCAGGAAAGGGGCGTCGCGCGGGTCCTAGGTTGACGCGACGGGCAGGGCAGGGCATCGCGCGGGTCCTAGGGCGACGCGACGGGCAGGGCAGGGCGTCGAGCGGGTCCTAGGGCGACGCGACGGGCAGGGCAGGGTGTCGAGCGGGTCTTAGGGCGACACAACGAGCAGGGCAGGGCATCGCGCGGGTCCTAGGGCGACGCGACGGGCAGGGCAGGGCGTCGCGCGGGTCCTAGGGCGACGCGACGGGCAGGGCAGGGGGTCGGGTGGGTCCTAGGGCGACGCGACGGGCAGGGCAGGGCGTCGCGCGGGTCCTAGGGCGACGCGACGGGTATGGAGTGAGTTTATGGGTGGGCGGAGGTCCGACCGGGCCTGAGGGGGGAATGACACATGGGGTGGGGAGGATTTGAGAAGTGGCTGGAGCGGGGTGGTTCGGGGGGAGAAAAACCTGCTTGGGTTGAGGAGGGAAGAGAGGGGGTGGCGGTGCTAGGTGAGCGGGTGGGTGGGGGAGAGCCGGGCGGCGGGGGGGTGCGGGTAGAGAAAAGGTACATGGGAGAGGGGGTTGGCAAGAGAGGAGGTCCAGAGAGGGGGGGCAGTGGGTGTTGGTGTAAGGGCCTAATAAACTCAAGCTATTAAGACTTTATCACACTTAAAACCTCTCCTCGGGGTCACCTCCAAGGGTCCTTGGGTGCCTGGTACAAGACCAGCCCCTATCCTCGGGTCCGAGTTTGTAGAGAGAGGGATCAAGAGGGACTTAGTCAAAACAGCAAGAGTACCTTGAACGTCGCGCAGCGTATCGTGCAGACCGTCGATCGGATTAAGCTGAGAATTTCCTATATCGAAGCTCACTCTAAGAGCTTTAAAATAAGCCAAGTTGCCTCGCGAAAAGTTCTGCCATTACGAAGTTATGGCTCGGACAGCGTTAGCCTAGCGTTGGAGTGCTAGCGTACTAGCGTTGACTCGGGTAGCATTCCGCCGTCGCACCGCGTAGAAAAGAAATTCCAGCAAGGAAGGAATTCGCTTGAATCAATTTCACTATATTCAGGTACAAACAGAGAAGGAATAAATAGCTCTAGCTAGCAAGGACCTTGGGAATCAACCTGGGAACAACCAGGGATGATCCCAAATAATTCCAAGCAACAGAACCAACCTGGCTGGACAAAATAGCAGGTGATAGGTTGGTGAACAACCTCTGGTTCTGTTTTTCCAACCTGGGAAAACAACAACCAGGTTCAGGTCCTAAAAAACAGAACCTGTTTTGTCTTTGCCCAACCAGCCAAATGCTGGTTCCGCTGGTTTCCCCTGGCCCTGTAGCATGCAGATACAGACAAACAACATCCAACCTTCACCTAAATTGTACCCCTATAGTGCCTGCCCTGCTACACTATAGTCAACCAAACAAAACAGTACAATTTCGAGTTGGATAGAACTGAATCTGCGCAATCAAGTAAGCCGAACCGCAAAGCTTCCATCTTGGGTTCCTTTGCGAGCTCGTCCTTTCTGCTTGTACTGTTCATAGCGCGTACAATGTTATGCCGAAGCGCACATTGTGCGAGTACCTGCAAATGCTTCAAGCGAAAATTGCGAAAGCAAACAAACACACAAACATACCATTCACACGCAAATGCATTCGCACACGCATACTCGTACAAACAGACGGCAGGATGTCGTGCAATGTGAATTTGCACCCAACAGTGGGCTCTGGATGGGTGGTGAGATGGGGGATAACATGGGGAGGGGGCACAAACCGGTTGGTTAGGGGAGTGGCCAGGGCGTGGGCAACCGTGGGGAGCAAGAGAGGAAAGACAATGGGGGAGGGGGGCGTAGAAGGACATAGGGATATTGGAAGGTGAGCGCGGGGGAGGGGGGGGAGCAGGTTAGTTGATGGGCAGGAAAAAGGTGAGTCGCGGGGGGGGGGGGGAGGCAGGTTGGAGGGCAAAGGGGGAACGTACAAGGAGAAATGGGGAGCAAACTGGAAGTGAGGGATGAGAGCGGGAACGAGGAAAGTTAGCAACGAAAACAGAAAAGGTGTTTTGCGTACCATTTCCCTGCTGCAGTTGCGCGATTGAAATAGTGTTCCGGTTCGTGACGCGTTGGCGGCCGCGGGCCGCGAACGCCGCGTGATCCGACGCGCGGTGGTTGTTGGAGCATAGCGCGCACACGTGGCAGGAGAAATTCAGCAACATGGGAGGTGTGTTGACCTCCAACAGGATTTCGAATGGAATAAGATTGAAATGCGGGTCGTCGGGGGTGGCGACTGGGAGCCCAGCGAGGTGAGTGAAGTAGGTACCCTCATAAGGGTCAGAGGCGCGGTGGAAGTTGGTCAAATCGGCGAGCCAGTGCGCACCGTCCGGCTCAATGGAGTCCAGGAGGAAGGTACGGATATCCTCTGGCGCGTACTCCATAGGGACGTTACGGATAGAGAGGGTGGGAGTGCCTGCAGCCTTAGGTGCAGTAAACTCCTCGAATCTGTCCACGAACTCCTTCAGCAGAACGGGGCGGGAGTTGGGGAGTTTGAGCGAGAGGGGGAACAGCCTGCGGAAGGCGGTTGCGTCCGCCTGCGACGGCCATGAAAACTGCAGGCGGCCGTAGACGCGGCGGGCCATGCGGAGGGGGTCACCTACGGTATGCTCAAAAGGCGGGGTGATGCCAGTTTCGAACATGAAACCGCACAGCATTGCGTTGATGCCGGCAAAAATCGCGGTGCGGTGCGCTTGCAGCTCGGCTTCGGGGAGGAGGAGGGACACAACCACGCGGCGGCGCTGAGGGAGCAGCAGGGGGGAAACGGCGGTCAGACGCGCACGGCGGAGGTTGCGGGGGGGGGGGGGGGGGGGGGGGTTGTTGGTGTAAGGGCCTAATAAACTCAAGCTATTAAGACTTTATCAAACTTAAAACCTCTCCTCGGGGTCACCTCCAAGGGTCCTTGGGTGCCTGGTACAAGACCAGGCACCCAAGGACTTAGAACCTATCCTCGGGTCCGAGTTTGTAGAGAGAGGGATCTAGAGGGACTTAGTCAAAACAGCAAGAGTACCTTGAGCGTCGGGCAGCGTATCGTGCAGACCATAGATCGGATTAAGCTGAGAATTTCCTATATCGAAGCTCACTCTAAGAGCTTTAAAATAAGCCAAGTTGCCTCGCGAAAAGTTTTGCCATTACGAAGTTATGGCTCGGACAGCGTTAGCCTAGCGTTGGAGTGCTAGCGTACTAGCGTTGACTCGGGTAGCATTCCGCCGTCGCACCGCGTAGAAACGAAATTCCAGGAAGGGAGGAATTCGCTTGAATCAATTTCACTATATTCAGGTACAAACAGAGAAGGAATAAATAGCTCTAGCTAGCAAGGACCTTGGGAATCAACCTGGGAACAACCAGGGATGATCCCAAATACTTCCAAGCAACAGAACCAACCTGGCTGGACAAAATAGCAGGTGGTAGGTTGGTAAACAACCTCTGGTTCTGTTTTTCCAACCTGGGAAAACAACAACCAGGTTCAGGTCCTAAAAACAGAACCTGTTTTGTCTTTGCCCAACCAGCCAAATGCTGGTTCCGCTGGTTTCCCCTGGCCCTGTAGCATGCAGATACAGACAAACAACATCCAACCTTCACCTAAATTGTACCTCTATAGTGCCTGCCCTGCTACACTATAGTCAACCAAACAAAACAGTACAATTTCGAGTTGGATAGAACTGAATCTGCGCAATCAAGTAAGTTGAACCGCAAAGCTTCCATCTTGGGTTCCTTTGCGAGCTCGTCCTTTCTGCTTGTACTGTTCATAGCGCGTACAATGTTATGCCGAAGCGCACATTGTGCGAGTACCTGCAAATGCTTCAAGCGAAAATTGCGAAAGCAAACAAACACACGAACATACCATTCACACGCAAATGCATTCGCACACACATACTCGTACAAACAGACGGCAGGATGTTGTGCAATGTGAATTTGCACCCAACACACTCCCCCTCAGCCTGCCGGCTGCATCCCCATCATTCCATACTAGTTCATGCTCATTCCACTCATGCGCACACAACGCCAATGAGGCTCATCCGCAAGCCTCTTGGTGAAGAAGTCTGCTGGCTGCTGGTGAGTCTTGATGTAGATCGGATTCACCGTCCCCCTCTTCACCTCCTTACGCAGCCAGTGCCACTTGATACGCATGTGCTTATTCAGCCCATGAAGCACAGCGTTCCTGGCCATCCCAAGAGCCCCCTTGCTATCACAAAACAGCGGCGTAGCAACCTTTTGCTCCTGGCCAATCTCCTCCAACAGCCTCCTCAGCCAAATCACCTCCTTCACCCCATGGAACATCGCCATGTACTCTGACTCCACGGAAGAGAGTGCTGTCTCTGTCCGTTTCTTTGACCTCCAACTAACCGGTCCTCCCCCAACTACGCAGATGTATCCTCCCACAGATGAGGAATCCTCCTTCTCAGAGGCCCACGTAGCATCGGTAAAGCAAGTGAGAAAAAGCTTGCCTTCTCCAAGCCTCTCCCCCTTCTCTTTCAGCACCTCAACCCCTTTCTGCTTCACCTGTGCAGATGCGGAGTATTGAACTCCAATGCTTGGGTGAGAGTTCAGATACTTCACCACACGCTCAACTGCATCCACCTGCTCCTCTGATGGATTCTGCACCACCCTAGCCAGCTGCCCAACCGAGAAAGAGATGTCGGGTCTCGTGTGAACTGCTGCATACAAGAGGCTGCCCACCAAGGACTGAAATTGCTGCTGCTCCTCGGCTTCAACCCCTTCATCCTCTGCAGCTTTCACAAGTTTGAATTCTGCTGGCAGGGGAGTCGCAAACTTGCGCTCATTCTCAATTCCGTACTTCTCCCCAAGCTCCTTGATGAACTTCTCCTGGTGCAGCTTCAACCACCTGTGATCTGGATCCCTCTCCACGTGCATCCCGAGGTAGTACTTTACCTCCCCAAGGTTCTTGCACTTGAAGTTCTCCATCAGCTGCTGCTGCACCTTCTGGATCTCCTTCATGCTGCTGCTAAAGAGAAGAATGTCGTCCACATAGACCAGAAACAGCACCAGCTTCTCCCCCTCCCCCTTGAGAAAGAGGCTCTCATCACAGCTGCTGGTCCTGAATCCCATCTCCTCTAAAACAGCTGCCAACTTCTGGTACCAGCAGCGTGGCGCCTGCTTCAAGCCGTAGATGGACTTTTTCAGCTTGCACACCCTGCCCGTACCATCCTCATACCCAGGTGGCTACGTCATGTACACATCCTCCTCTAAAATCCCATTGAGGAATGCCGTTGATATATCCATCTGAATGATGAATTTCCCACTAACGGTTGCATCTGCCAACAAGACACGGAGGGTAGGGGGTTTGGCAGTGGGAGCAAAGATCTCATTGAAGTCCCGCTTCTCCTTCTGCATAAACCCCTTAGCCACCAGCCTACTCTTGTAGATGGTGACCTGTCCCTTGTCATCGGTCTTGATCCTTAGCACCCATTTGCACTGTACGGCTTTCTTCCCCTCAGGCAGCACCACCAGCTCCCATGTCCCATTCTCTAGCAGGCTCTGGTACTCAGCATCCCTGGAAACCAGCCACTTCTCCCTATCTGGTCCAGCTAATGCCTCCTCCATGCTAGCTAGTTCCTCTGGTGCAGGGGCAAGAAAACAGTACGCAGGTTCATCCTCCTCATCCGGGTCATAGCCATGCGGTAGAATCAGCAATGCCTCCTCAGTCCCAAGCTGCTGCTCCGCTACATCAGGTCCTGCAGTCAGCTTCTTAGTAGCCATACGGGTACGTCCTGGCCTGGAGACGGGTGTCTCCCATCCCTTCATAACAACACCCTTCGGCTTCTTAGTTTTCCCCTGCTGCTGCTCTCCTCCGTCGGATCCAGCAGCTCCACTAGTGCTACCGCTAGTCTCCACACCATTGTTTTCTCCACCAGCAGGTGCCTCCTGTACCTTCTTTCCATCACCACCCTCTGTAGCTGCCTCCTCTCCCTCCTCCCACACACTAGGAGTCAGGTCCAGCTGCATGGTGATCTGCTCCATCTGCTGGGACACCCTGGCCTCCGGCTGTTTCTCCCAGCTCCCATACATCATGCCCTCAACAAACTTCACATCCCTGCTGTCAAACAACACACCCTTGGAAGGCTCCCACAGGAGCCATCCCTTGCTCTCAGCAGCCAGCCCCAAATGCACACACCAGATTGCACTCGCCCCCAACATACTGCGGTAGGTCTTGGGGACGTGGGCGACTGCCATGCAACCGAACACCCTCAGCATGTCCACCGGCGGCTTCCTCCCAAGCCACCTCTCCAACGGCACCCACGAGTCATCCCCAACCTTTGTGAGTACCCTGTTTCTAGCGACGGTAGCGTGCCGAACAGCATGGGGCCACATCAAGTTGCCCAGCCCAGATTCTATGAGCAGTGCCCTAGCTGTCTCCAGAATTGTCCGGTTCGCCCGTTCTGCTACACCGTTGGACTGTGGGGTGTAAGCCGTGGTCAGCTCCCTCTGGATGCCCTTCTTCTTGAGCCAGGCTGTCATCTCAGCTCCAAGGAACTCACCACCCCGATCTATCCTAATCCGCTTCACCACACACTCCGCTTGCTTCTCCACGAACGGCAGCCAATCGTCCCGAATCGTGGAGGCGGCGTGATCTTTCTGCTTCAGCGGATACGCCCACATTAGCCTGCTCCAGTCATCCACTATGGTTAGGAAGTACCGCTCCCCCTTGTGCCCTTGCACCGGCAGCGGCCCCACCAAGTCCATGTGGACCAGCTCCAACGGCTTTTTGCTCCTGCCAGCCACACTATGGAAGGGGAAACGGGTGAACTTTGAAAGGAGGCAAATTTCACAGTTATCATCGGGTGGTTGTCCGTTCAGCTTTAAGCCCTTAACGGCTCCATCCTTCTCCAGCTGCTTCAGCAAAGGCATTGCCACATGCCCCAAACGTCGGTGTGCAGTTGCCCAATCCGTCTCCCCAGATCTGGCCGACACTTTCACACCAACCCCTCCAACGGCGTTGCACTCCCCCTGGGATGCAGACCCCTCTCCAGCCTGCCCCCCACCGTGCCACGCCAGCGCCGGCAGCGGCCACATAGATCTGTACACGTCCTTGCTCTCGTGCAGATCCCAAAGCACCCGATTGCCCAGCTTCCCCTTATAAGTGCGTGCCCCATCCATCTAGTGCTCACCCCAGACTTGCCAAGCTTGCGAAGGGAGATGAGGTTGGCCTTAAGTTCAGGAACAAGAAGAACGTCGTGCAGCACCACTGGCTTGCCATCCGCTCCCTTAAACGCAGCTCGTCCCGCACCAGCCACCTTCAACATGTGTCCAGAGGCAGAGCACACCTCATTAATCGGTGCAGCGCGTACGTCGTCCAACAGGTCCTTGCGCGGCGTCATTGTCCAAGCAGCGCCCGTGTCCAACACCCAATAGTCCAGGGGGTGCAGCTCTGCTCCAGCCTTAGCAGATGCGTCTCCTTGCTCCCCCTTGTCTCCCATATGGAAGAATTGGCCCGCGGTGCGCTCCTTCTTCTTTTCTGCACCGCCGTTGCCTTTCGGGTTGTTGTCGGACGAATCAGCGACCATGTTGGCGCCGTTTTTCTGGTTCCTCCGCGCGCCGCCATCCTGGTGACGATTCTGGGGGGTCCATCCATCGGGTTTCTTATAGCACAAAAACCAGGGGTGCCCTTCCTTCTCACAAT